TCACTGCAACCTCAAAATCTTGGCTCAAGTGGATCCTCCTGCCTTAGCCTCCCAGGTAATTCGGACTATAGGGGCCCATCACATTGCCTGGCTATTTTTTTCCTATTTTTAGTAGAGATGGGATCTCACTGTTGCTCAGGCTGCTCATAAACTCCTGAAGTCAGGCGAGCCTCAGGACTTGGCCTCCCAGAGGGCCAGGATTATAGGTGTGAGCCAGTGAGCCCAACCTTGACATAGATTCTAAATTAGCCGGCCGTAGAAGCATGCATGTACCCCTATAGCTGCATTCTCCTAAGGTCATTTAAAAATTGTCCTTATTAGTGAAAATGCTTACAACATTTAAAAATGATTTCAGAATTCTACAGCAATAAATAGACCAAACCCTACCAACAGGAGGGTTTTGGTTATAAACAGACCAAACTCTACCAAGTTTGGGAAACCATTCATTAAATGACCATAAAATCTGGAACCTTTCCAGTCCTCTACAACCCATTTTCTCCATTCCCAGATCCTATCCCCAATAACCCCCTTGCTGGCTCCAAACCCTCTGGCCTTAGAGTTCTCAACTGCAGGGATCTGTGAGAAAGTCAGTCCTAGGCTGGGGAGCAAATCAGTTCAGCTTATCCATAGAGTTAAACTTCTCATGGATCAAGTTTACACAGACTTCCTCCAGACATGCCAGTCACCAGAAATACACCAGTGAGGGGAAAGCTGTCTGCTGGAGGTACCAACAAGAGTGTGCTAACTCTCAGCAATGGCAAAGTGTACCCTTGTCACAGAATGTTAACCTTTTTTAAATTTGTGTCATTGCTTTATATTCTTCTTTTTTTTTTTTTTTGGAGACAGAGCCTCAAGCTGTCTCCCTGGGTAGAGTGCCATGGCATAGCTCACAGCAACCTCCAACTCCTGGGCTCAAGCGAGTCTCCTGCCTCTGCCTCCCAAGGAGCTGGGACCACAGGCTCCTGCCACAACGCCTGGCTATTTTTTGGTTGCAGCCATCATTGTTGTTTGGTGGGCCCGGGCTGGATTCGAACCTGCCACCTTAGGTGTATGTGGCTGGCACCTTAGCCACTTGAGCCACAGGTGCCGAGCCAACTTTATATTCTTTATGTTAGTTAGCTTACTAATTTGTACATATGGCTGAGATGCTGGGATTTGCTCGTATATCCGTGTTTAATGCAAGCTACCCCCTTGCCACCTAGGTGTCTGTCCTCAATTGGATTCATGACTATTACTGAGGTCACACATGGAGCAGAGGTGCTGTGGAAGGAAGCTGCTACAAAGGAGAGGAGATGGGAGGGCAAGGAGAAGCCTGAGCAGACAACACAGCTAAAAAATACAATATGAACTTACTGAGAATCTCTCAAAATCACCCACCTTTAAATAGTCCTTGAGGATAAAAATAAAGCAAATGAATAAAATATGAAAACCTAAGATTATTTCTATATCTGCCCGGGATTCATTTTACCCATTTACTGAGCATCTGGAGAGCAAAGCTTTATTGTGTTGTAGAAACTACAATGATGAAGAACTTATGTTTTAATTGGAGGAAGATTCATTCATTCAGCAAATAAAGTATGAGAGGAAAAAAAAAGCAAGTGCAGGCTTTCAAGTGGCAAAGCAGTGCCATGGGATTTTAAAGGAGAAAGAACAACGATTGGTTAGGGGAAAATTATTATGAATGTAAAAATTAGCCCCAAACTTAAAAGGCCACAGCAGTTGCTACTCAGCAGTTTCTGGCCAGTGGCCTTGGTGGGAGAGAGGTAGACGGGCACCAGGCCGGGCTCAGTGAGATGGGAAGGAGAAGCAAGGGAAGACTGAGAGGCAGTGGTGCTGGAACCTGCAATAAATGCATTTTCTTCTGAGGAACACACATGATCCTACCATCCTGAGAAGGCAGGACAAACTCATTTGAAGGGCACCCACAGGAGCTGGGGGAAGTGTGAGCAGAGACAGACGCACTTTGTAAGAACCGAATCCAAACTGCCACTCCCTGGGGAGGTGCCCCTTACCCCAGGCTTTATTCCTTAATAAAGCAGAACAGTAATTGAGGTGTGCATCAACATGCTGTCCACAACATCCTGTCCTCTTCCTAGCCCCAAGGAAATCTCCTGAAGCTAGAAACAGAAAAGATACGTCTGGTTCCTCAAGTTACATCTCTAAAGGTCTCCCCACAAATGCTGTCGGCATTCTGATCCGTCATACCTTGTGAACGGGTCTTATCGCAGTTTATACCCTTTCTGTGACGAGTCATTCTATGTTTTAAATATCTGCCTCACCAGTAAGTTTCAGAAAGCAACAGAACCTGGATAACTACAGACTACACAGGAGTTAAAGCAGTTGCTGGTGTCCTCGGCTCTGGGTTTCAGACATCTCATTTACTGTCTTAGGACAGAAAGTCTAATGACAGGGAGCTCAAGGATAAAGGGGAACCTGGTATGAAGCCCCAGATGAGCCCCCCTCCCATCTTCCCATGGATGAGCTCCTAATAGTTAATGGCATTATGACCGGGCTTTTCTTGGCCAAAGGGGCACTATTATTAATCGGTCCTTGTTTGTAAACAAATGGAATGAAGGCAACTGATCACACCAGGGCCTAGTGGAATGCTATTAATTGAGTTTCCAAATGTCTAGAAGCAGCCGGCTGCTTCTAAACTTTCTTCCAAGCATTTGGTGTTACTCTGGAGTAGCACATGGATCCCCTGTGGATTAAAGGGCAAAACCAGGAGGGAATCTGGCTTCCATCATCCCTTTCACTCTTGCTGTCTCCCGAGTCTATAAATCACTTCTGGCAGGTAGCAGGGACGAAGCAGCGAATGACAGTTTTGCTCTAGAGCACAGGAAACCACCTTTTAACCCGCCTGCTGTTGTTTGTCTCTCAAAACGTGACAAAGGAACAGATGTAAGCAACATGCCAACTGTTGAGAGGATCTGCTCAGAGCACTATAGGAAGCCTGTTCAGAGCCACATCACACCAGCCGCTCCAAGGAAGGACAGCTGAGTTCATTTCCTGAAACCCCTACGCAAGCTCTGTTCACGTCAGGTTGGGATTGGCAGTGCTCAGGCAACTCACCACGCAAACTCCTGCTTCCACTCCCCCAGCCCCCCCCCCGCCCCCGTGGCTCCCCAGTCTTGAAGCCCCTTCCTGAGCCCCGTCCAAATGCCACTGAGGTCCAGTCCAGCCTCATCCTTTGCCCTCTGCCATGAGGTTGCTTTATTAATTCCTATTAATTTTTTTTAGGGGGCATACGTTTTGTGATCCTATGCCATTCTCTCCTCTCTTGACCAGACTACTTGACATGGTGTGTGCCAGTCTCTCTTCCTCTCATGGGTCAATCTCATCTCTGCAAACTATCTTGTTATCTCCTTAAGGGCTAGGGCCAAGGCTAACATAACTTTTGTATTCATAAAGAAGCAGTTTTTCACATCACTAGCTGCAAACCATGAGTGAACTAAGAAATTTAAACGGACTACACCCAATATTTTAAAATATGAAATAAAAAATTACAAGGAGGAACTATATAAAGTGGGTATTAGATGACTTTATGAGATTACTATTAAGTTTGGGGGGAGGATACATGTAGTAATGGTGATATGGTGTGGGAGAGTGCTTGGTTTTTTTTTTTTTTTAAGTACTTTTTTTATTAAACTTTATTTTTTTGGAGCTGTTTTAGGTTCACAGTAAAATTGTATGCTCTCGGGTACTCCAAATTCTCATATACCCCACACACGGACTGCTCTGTCACTACTAACACCCCTCCAGCACAACGGAGAGAGCGCTTGTTGTAATCAATGACCTTACCCTGACACATCACTATCACCCCAAGGCTACAGCTTAATAGTGCTCATTCTTGGTGTTGTATGTCCCAAGGGTTTGGACAAATGTATAATGACATGTATATACTAGGATAGTATCATCCAGAGGAGTCTCACTGTCCTGAAATTCTTTTGTGAATGCCTTATTTTTAGAATAGGCATGCTAAAGTATTGAGGAGTAAGTTAGTTTCAAATGGATCAACAAAAGAAAAACGTGTGTGCACATGCACGCACAGGCAGCAGGCCCACACTTGTGTGTTTAAATACACACTCACAGGATCAAGCAAATGTACCAAGTTACAACTGTTCCATCTAGGTGTAGGATATACAGGTATTCATGATGTTATTCTTTGCATTTTTCTGTGTATTTGAAAAGCTGTATTAGTAACAAATGAAAGAAAATGAAATAGAAAAAAATCAGACTGCAGACCATGAAGACCATTTAGTTTCAGGTATCTACTAATGCACATGTGTCCTGGGTCACAAAATAAATGTGTTTCTTATCTGGTCAAGGCCCAGAGCACAAATCCAGCTTGCTGCTCCAAGCACTCAGCAGGCTGACAATGAACTACTTGTTAATTAACTTCTACAAGAACAGGATTTAACTAAAGAAGCAAGCTGAGAAATCATTTTGTCCTCAGTCACACCCCATTAACTCAAGCTGGGTCAAAACATCTAGGCCCTTTCCTGCCTTGGCACACTTGGGCCTGATCTTAACTCAGCCTTCAGGCTTTTCTTACCAGATAGTTAATTACTCATCAGAGGAACGCCTCTAGCTTTTCCCCTCCATGCCGGGGAGGGGAGTATATTAACAGAAGACCCCAGTAGGGAGATCAGTTGTCTTTGCTCGTGACTGAGGTGTTTCCCAGGACTAGGGACCCAGCACAGGCCCAGGCGAACCAGGGTAGCTGGTCACCCTAAACTTGAGAGAAGACTTTGGGAGAACCTTGCACAGATTAGGGAGAGCTCACGCTGTCGTGCTGTGTCGCAGATGGCACCACTGCAGCATGAGCAACGGGGCAAACCCAGCGCAGGAAAAGCTGCGACAAGACAGAGAGCTCTCTGATGGCTTCCAAATAGCAACAGCAAATGCCACATCGCAAAGTGTCTCTTATGCCCTTAAACAGAACCTTTCTCTGATTATTCATCAACTAATCTGGAAAGCACAGGACTCAGGACACTCACTGTAAAAACATCATCGTCGCCAAGCTCAGCTTCGTTATGGATGGTGGAAGATGAGGTTGTTGAACCTAAAAAGACAAAAACATAATAAAAAGTGTTTCCCAAGAGGGTAAGCTAAAACCAATCATTTAAAAAAGGGTATTTTCATAAAACCACATTCCATTCCGTTAGCATGTGCATGGCCAGAAGAAACAAGTTACCTGGGATGAGGTTGCTTTTAATTTACTCTTAAATTGACTCTTGCCAGGATGCTCTCTAAATTAACTTTGCCTACTCAATTAATCTCTCAAGCTTCTCACTGCCACTAGAAAATAACCTCATAGGTACCAGATAGGAGAACCTACCTAACTCCTCCAAGGGGCACTTTAAGCCCAAGCCTCAGTGGTGACCTTGAAGTTCTAGCTGTGTGGTGGGAAGACTGGACTGGGTGCCCCAAGTTAAACCAGCCACAATTTCATGATATAAACTGGGCTCAGTTTCTCTGGCCTTTTCATCAACCAATGAGAGAGGTTTTGGGGTTTTTTTTTGAGACAGAGTTTGTTTTGTTGCCCTCGGTAGAATGCTGTGGTGTCATAGCTCATAGTAACCTCAAACTCTTGGGTTCAAGCAATCCTCTTGTCTCAGCCCCTGAGTAGCTGGGACTACACGTACCTACCACAACACCTGGCTATTTTTAGTGACAGGGTCTTGCTCCTGCTCAAACTGGTCTCGAACTCATGAGCTCAGGCACTCTACCTGCCTCAGCCTCCCAGAGTGCTAGGATTACAGGTGTGAGCCACCATGCCTGGCAATGACAGAGTTTTGATTAAACAGCTTGTATGCTTGCCTCCAGTTCTGAATTAATGTACTGTATTCTAAATTCCAGCCCGTGGGAGCCACTTTCTAAGCAAACAGCCAGACGAGGAGGTTTTCTCTTGCAATATAAGGGTACCAGTGAATGTTCTTTGCTTTTCCAAGTCAAAATTAAGGCTCTTGTCAGAAAACCTAGCTTCCAGTATCTAAACAACTGGTCTTTAGAGTTCAATTTATTTACTTGTTTGACTTTTTCTTTATTCTTGTATGCAAAACAGTGTAACTGTCCCACTTAATGCCACAATAGCACCCAGTAATTGGTAAGAAAAACATTTAAATTTGTATGAGTGACAGATATACCAAAAAGGAAATTTATTCTCTTTTATTTTTTTTGGTTAAGTTTTTAAAAATGTACTCTTAGGCCTCAGCGCCCATAGCACAGTAGTTACGGCGCCAGCCACATACACCAAAGGTGGCGGGTTCAACCAGCCTGGGCCAGCTAAAAAACAACAATGACAACTGCAATAAAAAACATCTGGGTGTTGTGGTGGGTGCCTGTAGTCCCACTTACTTGGGAGGCTGAGGCAAGAGAATCACTTAAACCCAAGAGTTGGAGGTTGCTGTGAGCTGTGACACCACAGCACTCTACCAAGGGCAACATAAGTAAGACTATCTCAAAACACATACAAAAAGGTACAGTTAGAAAACATTTTGCTGGCTCGGCGCCTGTGGTTCAAGCGGCTAAGGCGCCAGCCACATACACCAAAGGTGGCGGGTTCAACCAGCCTGGGCCAGCTAAAAAACAACAATGACAACTGCAATAAAAAACATCTGGGTGTTGTGGTGGGCGCCTGTGGTCCCAGCTACTTGGGAGGCTGAGGCAGGAGACTCGCTTGAGCCCAGGAGTTGGAGGTTGCTGTGAGCTGTAATGCCACGGCACTCTACCCAGTGGGACAGCTTGAGGCTCTGTCTCAAAAAAAAAAAAAAAAGAAAAAGAAAACATTTTGCTATTACATAAAACTGAACTTAAAATAATTATTCAGAAAGGGATGAAAAATACTTAAATTTCCAACAAGAAATAGGAGGAAAGTATTCAGTTCCAGAATACTTTCTGTGAAATTTTCATTGGTCAGTCTTTCAGGATTTTTCTTTACTCTTTGAATTAGTCTCATCAGTCAAGGTTCAAGGCATGTTTGATAGAAAACAGCTAGGCAGAAAAAAAAAACTGGAGGTAGGAGAATCCAATTTTGTGTGTACTTTCAGTGAAGTACATGGACACAACCTAAACTTCCGTCAGTAACACAGGAGATATTTTCTCTCTCAACATTTTAAAGTTATTATCTAAAAACAATATTTTAGGCCAGGCATGGTGGCTCATGTCTGTAATCCCAGCAATTTGGAAGGCTGAGGTGAGAGTCTGAGGCCAGGAGTTCAAGACTAGCCTGGGTAACATAATGGGACCCCATTGCCACAAAAATAGAAAAATCAGCAGGGTGTGGATGAGTGCACCTGTAGTCCCAGCTACTTGGGAAGCTGAGGTGTTAGGACTGCTTGAGTCCAGGAGGGAGTTCAAAGATGTAGGGGGCTACGATGGTGCCACTGCACTCGAGCCTGGTGACAGAGTCTCAAAAAATAAACACTTTAAATATTTGTCATTTATGTAAGACCTTTGAGGTGAATGCTAGCCTGTATTATTTCTTTTTGGCTATCTCATGGTTGTTATTTATGGATTCATGTTCTAGCTAGAATTGTCTTACTACTGATTATAATAAGAAGTGATTTTTCTACGATTTGTTTTGTTCTCTTCCCTCAAATCCACCGACGAAGATGATTTCAGAGCACTTGTGTTTCTTCAACAAATAAAACATAATTCTTTTGTGACTCACTTTCCCAAATTCTGAATTTGGCATTTACGTGCCTTGCTTGATATTTCTTCCTTCACAGGGCCTGGCTGTGGCATCTTTAACCCTCTGACTTGATAATTGAATGTGCTGAACTGGAGAATTTGTATGTCTGCATCTGTGGTCTCCAGCCAAGCCCATCTTGAGGACTGATTGCCCAAGGGCCTTCTTCTAGGCCGTGACTGGATATAACACAATGCCTGCTACTCACCCATATACCAATGCCTAAACCGAACCAGGGCTCCAGAGGTCACAGATCCCTTTCCTTTTCAGTGGCAGCCGTACACCCCGGGTCTCTGATTACCAGAGGACAGTGGGTAGGCCTGGAGCCTTCTGGGCCTGCCAGAATCCATTCTCTACTTCTGAGCCAAGGCATACCAGACCAAAGCCATTTTAATAGTCAAAACAAGGTGAAATCAGTCAAAAATACATGCATATGGTAATTCACAACCAGCCTGCTTGTATTTTTTCACAGCAGAGTCTAAAAATCAATTGTGATCAATCCTTACTCTGAAAGTCATCTCTTTTCCCCTGCACTGTCGCTTTAATTCCTCTCCCTGGACGCTCCGAAAGTTGTGGCATTTACTGCCCTGCCACGAACCCTCCCACAAATATATGATGGCAGACTACTGGAATTAAAGGAAGCTGATAGATTTCTGTAGTCCCACTAACAGAGCAGCAGCAAGTTCAATACCTTCTATAAGGTCTTCGATTGCTTTCCTCACTCCCCTGTCAAAGGCTCGAGCGTCAGCAGGGCTTTGGAAGGTCAGTCCAAACTTCCTATTATCGACCTTCCAGTGATGAAACGTTGGATTGGCTTTGGTGTAGACCAAGTCCTTTCTTACATAGCATTCCAATACCACCTGAAGGATGGAAACACACAGGCTGGTTACTTGTGGGACAGCCCTGATGATGTCTGGTTACAGAAGTCTAATTATAAACCATCACTGGTGGTGATTAAGAAAAACCCTCTGTCTGCTGCCTGCATAGTTCTGTGAATGTCTTCATCTAGCGAGAGGCCTCTGCTTGCCTCTGGGCCTCGTGACCCCCACTGTCCTGGCTGTAACTTCTTCAACGCTCTCCTCTTCCTCTCACTCACTCCCTTTCTGCCTGCCCCTGGCTGCAGGAGCACTAAGCCCAAGTCTTGGGTCTTTGCACTGTTCGAGGATTACTGCTTCTATATGTTGGGGGTTTTATATTGATGGCTCTGAACCTTCCCTTCCTGTCCTAAAGGCCCACTCCCCATTATCCCAAATTCAACAAGTAGAAAAATTAATACGCTCTGAAATTTCTGCCCTTTGTTTCCTCTCCTAACTTCTCCATAGTTGGCAATGCCAACTCTTCTCTCTGCTCATTCTGGCCCAAGATCTCTGTGGTCATCTTTGCTGCCTCTGCTGTCTCCATCCCCTGGGTTATCCATCACCAAGTCCATTCCGTTTTTCTTTCTTTCCTTTTTTATTAAATCATTGCTGTGTACATTAATGCAGTCACAGGGTACAATGTGCTGGTTTTATATACAATTTGAAATATTTTCATCAAACTGGTTAACATAGCCTTCATGGCATCTTCTTAGTTAT